ATAGGCAAAGAGTAAGAGTCTTTACTCTTTGCCGTAGGTTTCATTAATAAAAAGAATTTTATTTGATTTATCGTAACTTTTACAACATTGTGTTTTCGGTAAACATAGAGAAAAAAACCGATACGGTTTATCACACATATTTTCTTATTTTAAACGCGGTAATGATGCTACAACTAACTCAAACTTGACTAAAAACACCTAATAAAATGTTAAAGCCGAAATTAACAAGTTTACTTACCTAAAACAAAGAAAATTTGAATTATAAAACTTCGTACACACCACATCAACAACACTGTCGGCCATTTGTAATTTCTCAAACCGAACAAGTTGGAAAAGACCAATCACAACAAAGTGGTTAATAACTGGGGTCTGTCAAAAACAACTTGGGTTTCAACGCACTCTAGATTTATTTTACTGTTGCCTGTTGTCAAATTCCCCTTATACCCCCCTGGTAATTACCTCGAGGCGTATTTGAAAAATGTATATAGAACCGTAGATTCTTGACTGACACATACACTGTTTTGTATGCTATTGGCAATGACACATATACCCTAAAATCACTGAAATTTCAAAATATTGACATTTTGCACTTAGACGCTTTTGAATTACCACTCTTCAATTATGTAAATATTATTGGCACGCACACAGCATTCCAAACATTTAATTGCAAAATTTATTTAATTGTGACAAGTAGTTGTTCAATAAGGCCATATTTATTATTAAATTGTGCTGGGGAGGCATGATTCGATTTGTTTTTGTTTTTACATGGCGTCCATATGTCAAATAATTTACATGTTGCAGTTAAAAACATGGTATTCTCATAGGTTTTTAAATGGTTATAATTGTTCGTTGCGTTGAGTATGTTGAGTATGTTGCGCGATTAAAAGATGGTTTAACAAAAAACAAAACTTTATTTTAACATGGTTGTGTATATGACTAAGTTTCAAATCTTAATGTTAAAATACTAAAATCTAGGTATAAAAATACCAAAAAGGGGAGGGCGTTGCAGCCACTTGATGGCTAATATCTTCCAGATGTCCTAGCAGAATTGATTCTCCCTTTTCTTGGTAATTGCTTTTACTTGTAAATATTATGCACTTGTTAAACAGATAATTTATAATATATGGGCCAAGCGTAAACAATAATATATATATATATATGTAAGATAAGAAACTTTAAAGTGTGTTTAGTGTTTCAAGAGGTTTTTTTTCAGAGTAGGTAAGTGTTATTTTTATTTATTTGTTTATTTTCTGTTTATTGTTGGGATTTTTGTATGCGTATTTAAAATTATTTTTTCTACGACCACTATGTAAAAGTCATTTCGTAATGGCATCGTTGCTTAGAAAATGAATCTTTTCATTGGCAAGGCAAAACGCGAATGTAAAGTGACATTTCTGTTTGAAAAGAAATTGACAGCTTCGTTTGACATTCGTTTCAAAATTTGTATTGTATTTGTATGTCTAAATACCATTTAGAACACAATTAATTGTGTTTGTATAATAAATTCTAATTTTTAGTGCCTTTGTTTAAATTGAGAAGGTAAGTTTATTGATTTTAAGTAACTTATACCTTAAAAATTAAAGGAATAAGATGAAAGTAATTTTAACAGCTGTCAAACACGTTTTTAGGTTATTTTGTTTTTTATTAGAAAATAATAAAAAATAAAAGGGTCGTAGAAAAAACATTGCGTTTCACTTGTGAGAAAAGCTTTCTTTAAGGTCGTGTTAATGCAACTTAAACACTCGCATGAAAAAGTCGCTTTTCAACACTTGTAAAACAAATAACTATTGTACAAATTTTTCTGGTTTCTTGTATATAAATTTAAAAACTTTATTAATTTTTATGAACCTTTTTAATTTAGTTATAAAATTTAAATTTAATGTTTTAAAATAATAACTAATAATGTTTATTTTCAACTTAAAAAAAATCGTGTTCATAAAAATAAACAGGTCATATGGAATTTTTAAATATTAAATTTAATATTAACTTTTACTGAATTCATTTTACTATCTTTTAATTAATTTTTTTTTTAATTTTGCAGTTATAAATATGTGGCTCATTGGCATAGTGAAAAATGCGTTTAATCGAAGTGCATTCCCAGGTAGCACAACGTAACGAAATCTTGACGTAAACAAAACGTTTTCAGTCAGTCGTGACTTGGACGTTATTTAAAAATCGTAACGTATTTAATTAAAAACAGTTGCCAAACCGCGCTAAATTTAAGCATAGTTTTTGTGACGAATACGTTACATTAATATGAATAAAAATCTTCACGATGTAGTTAAGAATACGCCACGGATTCTTCACGATGATTTGTCACGGTTTCGTCACGACGCTTCGTTACCGAATAGTGAACTGAACTGGTCACGTAATTGTGGCGTATAGTTGCATTATTTGGGGGTGTAATAATATTGTGCAGTGTAATGCAGTGCAGTACGGTATAGTGGGTTGTTTTGTGTATTGTGGAATTATTGCTTACCTCATCATCAGGTTGAAATCAAATTACAAAACTTTGAAGGTAAGCAATAATTCCACAATACACAAAACAACCCACTATACCGTACTGCACTGCATTACACTACACAATATTATTACATCCCCAAATAATAACATATTGTTGTTAGGATTGTTTAGTTTTGCAATGTTAATGCAAAGAAAGCACATTTAACTGAATTATATTTTATTAGAAAAACAATAAAAACATATTCTACAATAAACTATAATAATATATATTATATGTACTTATATATATATATATAGAAAAACACTAACAAAATAAAAAAATATTCCTCTTATAAAATAAAAATACCTCCACTTTTGAAAACCAGCAATAATTGCAATTAGTTTTCAAATGTCATATCTTTGAAAAAAAAATTAAATTATTTTTCTATTTTAAGGATAAAACAGTACACAAAAATATAATTCTCCTGTAGAATAAAAACACTATTTTATTAGAATATACCTAATATAAAAAACAGTATAACAAAATAAACAAGTATACTCTATTTCTCTTATAAATTAAAAAATGAAATGAATGAAGTCAATTAATAATTCATCAGTATAAAATTTTTATTTTATTTCTGCAGTTTAACTGCAACATTTATTTATAATAAACATTTATTTATAATAAACTTACTTAAATAACACTAGGGTTCAGCTGAAGTACAAACCTGTGATTTCATCTTATCATATGTATGCTGGAAGGCATACATAATGTGCTTTTCAACGTCATGACGATGCATCCTTTGTAATATTTCTTTCTCCCGAGACAACCCAAGACAATTGTGTTTGCCATCAATATGTCTTTTAGTCTAAAGTTTTCGTTCGTCCCTATAGGATATATCCAGTTGTGTGGAGTGTGTCCAGAGTGTCGATTGTAAAACAGTCTCTGTTATGTTGGTTACCAATTTTTTAATTTTAATTGACCTGCAAAATGATCATAAGAAATAAGCAGTTTTCTCCATGGCTTTGTTAAAATTTATTTCACGTACAAAAAAATGCATTTTTTTCCTCTTTCAGTAGAAATTCAACAAAATACTTAATCTATAATAATAAATTTGTTAAGGATATATTAACACACTAAAAATGTTGTGGTTACTTATATTTTGTTGCTACAGCAAAACATTTCTTAGATTAGAGTGTGGAGTTGTTTAGCATTGCAGACAATTAATTAATTGTCTTAAGCTACTGAAATATAGAAAAGCAAAAGTACTTACGGTTTTAAACTATCCTTTTGTTTACCATTAAAAACTTTGCAGAAATATAGAAAAACCTACAGAAACCAATGGCTTGGGTCGTTACCAAACATTCAAAATGGAGATCCTACTTTATCTCTGATGATGATGGAGATGCACAGAACATATGACTATTGGCGACTGCGCATTGGTGTCACGACTTTACGTGATGTTTTCGTGACGATTTGTATAAATATTTTGTAACGTTTTTGTAACGAGCTGCACGTCAAGAATTTTATACCAAAATTTAAAGTAAAATTATCACTATTTCGTGTGACTAACGACTTTATGAAAAAATTCGTCACGTATTTTCATAGACCCCTCGTCACGAATTTGGCGTCACGCAATTTATTTACTTTTTATTAAAATTTCCTTAATCGTAACGAAATATTGTCTCGTTTTCGTCACTTCTAATTTTTAATGTCACGTTGTGCTACCTGGGAACCAATTTAAACCAATTAATTTTTTAAAATTTGGATTAGAAAATACCTACCAGTTTATTTTTCATTCAAAAATAATTTTAGATCCCAGAAGGATAACCGGGTAAAAACCAGAATTCATTTTTTACAGAAGAGACAAAAAATTTATTGTTACTAAGTAATTTTATTTATTTATTATTTTTTTTGTGATATATGTATGTATTAATACATATAACTTACTATCGCCTAAATCCCTAAATCTTACACAATGTAATGTTACACATATAAACTTTTTTTTAATATATAAGTAGACTACTAACACTAGGCACTTAACACTGAAATGTAATGTTACACATATAAACATTTTTTTAATATATAAGTAGACTACTAACACTAGGCACTTAACACTGAAATCGACTAATAAAATAAACCGCTAATAAATGGCGTCCAAAGACGTTTTTTCTTTATGATGGCGTCTCAACCTCGTTGATTTTGCGCAGCTACACGAGAGCCCTCTTGCGATATTTGTATTGTATTGGGAATAACCAATTAGCAGATTTTTCGAATCTTACACTGGGAATGCCCAATTGAATTCAATTGGAAATTACCTATAGGTAGCTTTATCCAATCGAAACCAATAAAAACCATTAGAATCCTAACTGGTATTTTCCATCATGGAAAATACCAGTAAAAACCAATTTCTGTTTTATATCACGCCCAATTAAATCCAGTAAGTCCAATTCAGACCCATTGATACCAACCAATACTTCAATTGGTTTCTACAGGAATTAATCGGTCATTTACAACAGGGCTGCTATCTATCGCCACCATGGTGGAGGTATATATACCCAGACCGCACAGTCCTATTCCAGTATTATTCCAGGAATATTTTTAGGATTATTCCAAACGTCCTAGAATATTCCCACGAATATTCCTGATATATAAAAATGTCCGCTTTTTATTTATCCATAGCATGGTGAAAAATATATTCCCAGAATCTGCCCTTCAAATATTGTTAAGTTATTCCATAATTTCTTTTAAAATTGATTCTGGGAATATTCCAGTCTTATTAAAATTTAGTAGGCCGGAATGTTGAAAGAATTTTCGGGTTTTTTTGTTATTTTTAAGGACCTTTTTGGACATAAAGACAACTTCATATTAAATAGTTTAATAAAAGCAATTGTAGTACATGGGTACAATGTGTATATACATATATATACAATGTACATATATATATATATATATAAGAAATAAAATACATACATATATAACGAAATAAAATACATACATATATAACGAAATAAAAACAAATTCTTTGGTACTGTAATACAGTAACCCTGTATAAATTGGAATTGCACATTTCTACTGTTGAAGCGCTTCCATCCTTCTTTTTGCTTTGGTCAGCCAGACTGCCATTTGATCCTCTATTTCCTTTGTGGTAGCTTGCGGCACATGATTTCTTACGCAATCTAAAATAAAATTACCTATATGTGGAGTGTTGATAACAACTTACAGTATTTCATACCTATAATTAACGTTACAAAATGTTTATGGGCGGTAAAATTCTTTTTAGCTTTGTGTCCTTTGAAGCTGTAGCTGTTTGCCAAATTATCATCGAGTATGGTTTTCATGGCTTTTCTTACACATTCACTAATGGTATGGCCACCTTCCAGAGAAACCATTTTAACCTGAAAATTTGTAAATTAACTTAAATATTAAAAGCACTTTTAAAGCATTTTTGACAACTTACCGCGTACTTATAAAATTTGTCATCTTCATACAAAAGTTGATTTGTATTACGAAGAACATCATCCTCTAGTATGGGAAAAGTATTCTTAAATTGTTGCAAAAACTGTTCTTCATCAGGATCCATATTTTTAAGACCCACGGCATTGAGCTTACTGATCAATTCCTTCAACATATAATTTTGTTCTTTAATCAATCTGTTGTTCAAAATTGTTTGCCTCACTAATTTTTTAAGAACAATATTGTTGTTGTCACCCAGTTGATCCGTCTCCAGTATAGCTGCTGCTTCTATTAAAAAAGATCGAAATCAAACATTTTGCGATTGCAATTGTTTAACCAGAGTACCTACAACCCGCAGGGTGTTCCTAAAAGTTACAACGTTTGATGACAAACTCCTGACGTCAAAATAGATTAAGTGATTTAAGTATTATCTTTGGTTTAAGCCATATCCGAAACTCCTTCGTTTAGCCGGTAAAGGGCGTCAAACTAATTTTAAATGTTTTTTTTTACAAATTTATTAAAAACATGCCAATTGATTTTAGTGATTTTTACCATACAGTCACTATAAAACTACATTTCCCAGTAGTATACTAACTGGCTATAAATAAGCACAAGGGATATAAATGTGACGTAGCCTGTAAACATTCCTTCTGATTTTTTCTGTTAAAGTTATCAACCCAGTTAATTTTGTTAGTTAAATTAATGTTTTTGAAAGCTTTTTTATCTCTTGAAAAATTATGGTGGAAGATCAGTTTTGTCCGAATTTTTTTAATTTCAAATTTTTTATTTTTTTAAGTTTTGACAACCCAGGTATTTTTGTTGTTAGGAACAGGAATGTATTTAGGGGCTTTCTAATCTCTTGAAAAATTTTATTGTATAATCGGTTTTGCTCGAAAAAAATAATATTTTTAATTATCTCCATATTAACTGTATTAAAAAAATTCTGACGACAATTTTTCAAGTGAACTTGTTGCTATGGCAATAAATAATTTAAATGTTGACATATTCCCATTACTATCAAAGAAGTTTACTAAAATAAGATCAACATACTACATTTGTAAGCTTATTTTACCATTACCCTTGAATGACTAAAAATTAAAAATATTTTTTTCTGGCAAAACCAGTCATTAAAAGAAAAAAGCTTCTAAATACATCCATTTAAATAACAAAAATATGTACGTAAGTTGTCATAAATTTGATAAAAAAAATCAAAAAGAATGTTTGTATGTGACCTCATTTATATCACTTTTGCTTATTTATATCTGGTTAAACGTCATTTAGTAGAATATACACCAAAAATCACTAAAATCGATAAGCACGTTTAAAAAAAAAAACAATTTAAAATTATTTAGAATATAACTTGGCCTTAATTGATCTATTTTGACATCAGGAGTCTGTCATCAAACGTTATACAGACCTTTTATGGACACCCTATAATATTGCTGTCCTAAGCAGATATACAGAACAACCTAATGTGGTAGATTACAAGAAATAAAATGCGCTTAGTTCTGGGCACAACTGATGAGGTCAGGGTGTCATAATCCTTAGAGCAATAAGCAACAAGGGCTATAATAATGATAATAGTAATAATATTCCTCAATCTCACCGGTGGCCAATTTATTTCTTTCAATCTACCCCTTAAGGTTGTCTGGTTATTATACTGTGGTTTAGTGAATAGTGACGGATCTTACCATTATTATGAAGTTCACCAACGAATGTTTTATTTGCGACATTTAGAACTGGTTCAACCTCAATGTCAGAATTATGATCTGAAACGTAGTGAGCATCACTATCATTATTATCATCACTAGGCAGAAGGTCCAAGTAATCTACAAAGAAAATATTTAATCACATGATTTGTTTACATACAGCAAGTTCAACTACCCTCATCGCGGTCTTCTGCTTCTACGACTGTTTTATGAGTGGCACGTTTAAGTTGGGTAACTAAAAAAAAGAAAACATAATTAGTAAAAGTATAATATAAGGAGTAAAACTATAAAACAGTTTTAAAAACTTACAATCAGTCGTTACTTGACTGTTAAATTTCTGACTTTGGTATTTTGGATCATCAAATTTCTGACTGTTTGATATCTGACTGTCACATTGCTGAGTATTGGATTTCTGAGCTTTCGACTTTGTACTGTCAATTTTTTTACTACTGGGACTGTCAAATATTTGATTATTAATATTTAAGTTGTTGGCCCCTCCTACAGAATTGTTTGCTTGTTCTAAAACATTTAAAATATTAAATTAGTTTAAGGTGAGCTTATTGCTATAAAATGTACAATTGGGGAATATAATAAAAATAAAAAACTTAAAATAGGAGAAAATGTTACCTGTTTTTTTTTCAACGCCTATTTTTTTATTCTTTAATAACATAGGAAACTTCGGTATTTGAGGATTTATTCCGCTCTCCTCTTCTGATGTATCATTGGCGTTCAAGGAGTAGTTTGCATATATTAAATTTTTCTTAACGGTCCTTTTTGCAGGTAATTTTTCGGATTCGCTGTTATCAATATCCGAAAGAGCAACTACTTTGTTAGCACGAGCAGATGCCGTTGCAAATTTTCCATAACTTCTGGTTTTACTTACAACGTTTGTGTACTTCCTCCAGGTACCTTCTTGCGGTGATAAACAATGTTTTATCGCGCTTTCTACGTCTTTCCTATTATCAAATGGAGGCCAAAAACAATCTGTTCCATTAATCCATCTTGAAGGTACAACTTCAATACTCTGGCCTTCCTCTTCATTGTTAAACTGAACAACTTTCCATTGCTTCTCCATTACAATTTACTTGAACCCTTAGGATGTTACTTTTCCGTGGACGCCCGATAAAAAACCAGTGACCAAAATACCTATTGCAATTTATATTAATTTTGAAATGAAACTTTAACAAATCATCATTACAAAAAAATGTGTTATCAACAAAAATATGGAAACAAACCCCAATTGACATTAATTCGGACTTGTGTATCTGTCACGGATAATACAAGAAATTAGTTAATTCGGGAATTAACTAGCTAGAACTCGAATTAACCAATACAGCCGGTTAATACGGAAGAAATAAACATATTTGGGTTGGTTGGGTTTGCGCTGGATAATACGCGAAACAGGCGCGAAACTAACACATATTCGGGTTTTATCCTTGGTTATTTCGCGTTCTATCCGGTTAATTCGCGAATTAACTAATTTCTTGTATTATCCGTAACATATCTACTATTCATCATGATGTAGCAAGGGCAAAACTACAAAACCATCTGTATATGGTAACTTGATTAATTTATTTTTTATATATTTAATTGGCCAGTAATTTAGATCGCTTAGATTCTTTACAAAGAAAATTCCAAAATTGCTAGAATTGCACGGTTGGTCATAAAAATCCTGTACTGTTTCAAAACACCTGCCCACAACCACAAACTCATTAGTACTGGAACAAAATGCAAAGTTTTCTGCAGTAATTATAATGTTATTTTTCAACACACAGCAACAATCTTTTTTATTTATTGAAATTGAGAAATCTATAAATTTTGCAGTTTTATACTGGGGGCCTCCGCAGTTATTAACAAGCACTCCATCGTTGTGTGGATTTCCCATTTCGAAATTGTTTTTATCTGATAAATTACAATTTTTTGGCGATGATATGTGTTTTTCGATTTCACCAATTCGTTTAATAATTTGCTCTAGCACGTCCGAAGGTTTACGAATAAGTTTCTTGATATAGTACAAATAGTTTTCGGAAGAAAAATTACTAAATTTATCAAGGCATCCGTGCTTACGAACATCGTCGACGATGTGTAAAAGATTGTGGAAATTATGGCTTAAATAGTGAGTTCCATAAATTATTTTTGTTGATTTAACAAAATGCTCCAATAGCTGCTCGGCATAGTCTAAGTATGTATCACAATGTTTTTTATTAATCAGTATAACAATTGCAACATGTAAACTCAAAAAATGAAAGTATTTAGTAGGTGGCAAAACATTTTTCAGAACTACAGGGCCGGAATAGAGGAGAAATTGTCTGAACTCAGTGGCCTTCCATCTCTTGCTTTCAGACAATCCTCTTGGAACTCGAGCAAAATCTGAAGGGATAAACTGTTTTAAACTTTCTAGATTCAAGGAAATTTTATTAAAATCCCTAGCACATAACTTATGAGGAATTGGACCAAAAGCCCAAGTTTGGACTACCAACCGTTTTACCACCCCTAAACATATTAAATGCATGTAATCAAGTGGAATGTCTGAAACAAAATTAATATTGGGAATGTCTCCCAAAATACTTACTCCAGACAAAAAATTGTTATTTTCATTTAAGGACAAAAAACATTCATTAGTACGCGGTTCACTTACAAGATCTGGAAAACAAACTCTATCATTGATGTATATACCTTTTTGTTTGCATTTTGTACAGGAGTAGTAACCGCTATGACCCTTACAATATAAAACACTTGATTTTGCCACTGCATCAAATAGAAACATTGTTATTTTAAATTGAAATGTTTGTCCAAAAATGTTAAGGCCGTTTTCTGTGAGCTCTTTAGCTTCCTAAACGAAATCTTTTAAAAATTCATTAAAGTTAGAAGGTTTTTGATAGCCATGATATATACCTATAATGGAAACGTTATTACTATTTTCAATCGATTTATTAACGCATAAAATTGGGTAAACTTGACTGCTTGAGCTATGAGCTATTGGTAATCCGTCAATATTCACAGCTATATTTATAGAACTTCCTTTTGGTTTAATATTTAGATTTATATATTTTTGTTCAATACTACGTTTAATGCCAATATGACAATAATAGCCAGGTTCCACAGGATGTTTTTTGACAGATCTAGGAGTACACAAGAATGCTCTGGGATCTTTGGGAAAATGTTTAAAATTCGGGATATTTGGGGCAATTTCCGTCAAAAAATGTTTAAGTGCTGCGTGACTTATCTGATATTTTATAGCCCAGGTTTGTATTTTTTCATATAAAGAAAATTGGGTATTGGTTGGTGTAATATTCTCAGAATGTACATCGCCATTAAATCGATCACGTGATCGATATTGTACGGTACCGTCATTTAAACTTAAATCGTTTGAATCAATACTAGAATAACTATTATCAATATCGTTGTCTAACAAACTATTATTTTCTGGACATAAACTTGTTAAAGTTTCACTATCACAAAAATTTTCCCCATCAGAGGAACATTCGGAAGAATTCAATGATAATGAATTGTTTTGGTCACTGGTTTCAGAAAGTGAATTAAAAGCGAGATTGGTCCATTGAAAACGATCAACAGTGACTTTTGGACTTTTCCTATTAGAGTGTATGGTTTCCAAAAAAACTTTAGTATCCTTATTTACCAAACGCCGTAAGTGTCTTGAAGTTACCATTTTTGTTTTAGGCATTTTGAGTAAGTGTAAAAATAAAATTACCTGCAAAACAATAAAAGTAACAACCTAAGGCATTATGCTAATTACTTAAAAAATAATTTTTAAAGTAGAAAAAGAGTACCTATAACTAGGAGTGGGTTAAAATAATCGATTAATAAACGATTATTATCAAACCGTCGATTTTTTTTTTTAATAATCGATTATTTGATTAATCGATTATTCGATTTATAAAATAAATATTTGTTTTATTCAACCAAGAAATTAAATATAAAGCCGGTTAATTTTTTCAAAACTACAAAATTTAAATGGTGATTTTTTAGAAAACGCGTTTTTATGATTTATGCCGGGTTTAAAAAATGCTGCTAAAAATTTTAAACTTGTATTGCATGCATAATATAGGTCATAAGTATTAATTAATAATTTAATGGATTAATCAAATAATCAAAAAATCGATTAATCAATACTGTCTGTCCACTCTAAGTTGGCTGAACTAAGGAATTTTGTTGTTTAGATATTAAAGAATTGTCGTACTGTGTGCTTTTAAAACAGATTTTATATTATAAATAATACTAGGATATAATATGTACTAGTATTATTTATAATATAAAATCTGTTTTAAAAGCACACAGTACGACAATTCTTTAATATCTAAACTACAAAATTCCTTAGTTCCGCCAACTTAGAGTGGACAGACAGTAATCGATTAATCAAATAATCGAAAAAATCGATTATTTTAGATAATGAATAATCGATTATGAATTTCGGTAAGCCTATAACACCCTTATATAGGTTATTTCGACGTTGAAAATACATAAAGGCGGATCTGGTTTTTGTTGCCAAGCAAAAATATGTTATTTACAATATTAAACAATAAAGGTTAACGTATTTTTGCTTAGCACAAAAAACGATAGCCTTTTATTTATGTACATATTTTCAACGGCGATATGTGACCCACCTTTGATATACGAATTGGAAATAATAATAATAATCCACTTATACAGGGTGAGTTTTTTAAAGTGTTACAAGGCAATATCTTGAAAACGGTTCAATATTTTTTTGTGAAATTTTAATGAAGTAATGAGGATATATTTTTGAAATTTACCCCTCCACCCCATTTTAAGGGGCGGGGGGTAACTTTAGATTTTTCAATGGAAAGATGTACTTTTTTTTATAAAATTCGAATCTACGTAAAAAACTACGTATATGTGCCAAAAAGCTTCTCTGTAGTTTTTTCTACACTCCCCCAAAATCAACAACATATCAACTTGCACATTAAAATTATTTCCCATGTTTAATTGCTCAAAAAACTTTAATTAGCAAAATGTCAAAATTTTCAACTAACTTAGATTAAAATAACGTGTCCATGGAAATAAACAACAACGTGCAGTTTAACAGACTTGATAAAAACATTGAAATTATTTTTTAGTATTTTAACATAATAAATCATAACTCCATAACCAAAAGAGCAAATCAATTTTTTTTTGCACACATACGTAGTTTTTTACGTAGATTCGAATTTCATAAAAAAAGTACATCATTCCATTGAAAAATCCAAAGTTACCCCCCGCCCCTCAAAATGGGGTGGAGGGGTAAATTTCAAAAATATATCCAAATATGTCCCCCCGTGTCCTCATTACTTCATTAAAATTTCACAAAAAAACCGTTTTCAAGATATTGCCTTGTAACACTTTAAAAAACTCACCCTGTAGAATAGATTATGTGCCTAAACTACACAATTTGTGGTATAGGCTTTATCGTTTTATTCCCAAACGATCCGTCTTGCCCACTTCAGTGAGTAGAAATACTTAGGTATGTAATTAAAAATGTCAAAACATAATAATAAGCGATGTAATTATAAAATATAATTAAAAACAAATGTCGACTTTGTGTCTAAAGCACTTTAAATGTTGAAAGTCAACTTATTATAATTATAAATGTAGTTGTATACAACTACAAAAGCCGGTTGGAAAATGAACTGTTTGGGGACTCATTTTTACCTAATTAAATGAAGATAAAGAAGTAGATATAGTTTTAAACAGCATTTAGTATTTTAATATAATTAAAGAAGGAGCAATTAGCTAAAAACTAGAACTTACCTTTTAACAATTAACTAGAAACTAGAAAATGGCCGCAGCGTCACTCTCAACACACACCGCACAGAACATAAGGGGGGTATAAGGGGAATTTGACAACAGGCAACAGTAAAATAAATCTAGCATGCGTTGAAACCCAAGTTGTTTTTGACAAACCCCAGTTATTAACCATGTGATTCTTACTTTGTTGTGATTGGTCTTTTCCAACTTGTTCGTTGATGTTCGGTTTGAGAAATTACAAATGGCCGACAGCGTTGTTGAAGTGGTGTGTACGAAGTTTTATAATCCAAATTTTCTTTGTTTTAGGTAAGTAAACTAGTTAATTTCGGCTTTCACATTTTATTAGGTGTTTTTAGTCAAGTTTGAGTTAGTTGTAGCATCATTACCGCGTTTAAAATAAGAAAATACGTGTGATAAACCGTATCGGTTTTTTTCTCTATGTTTACCGAAAACACATGTAGTTAATAAAATTCTTTTTATGTAATGAAACCTATGGCAAAGAGTAAAGACTCTTACTCTTTGCTTATGGGTTGTTTAACTAATGCAAGTTTTGATAGAATTTAAATAGTTTTAAAGCGTTTTGATTCAAAACTTTCAATCAAAACAGTTTTTTACGTTTTTTTCTCGACACTAGTTGCTGTTATACAAAATGTTAAATATACCTATAATCTTTGTCAAAATGTATGTTTTTGTTAAAATTATTTGATGTAGCTACGCGAAAACTGGACCTGGGTCCAGGGCCCCACTACATTGGCATTTGGTGGAGCGGAGGTTATTGAACGAACAGCCCCCTCATCGGTGGATCGGACGTAAAGGGCCCAACAATTTGGCACTTCATGTATGGTCAACACATTCAACCGATCTCACAGTGTGCGACTTCTTTCTCTGGGGCTTTATAAAAGATAACGTTTATGAGCCCCAAGATTTGTAAAAGCTAAATACACGAATTGGAACTGCCGAGTATCTACAAGATGTTTGCAGCTGGAAGAGGTCATATTAAACACTTGTAAGCATACAGTTCAAAACTTGATTATATTACAAATGTTTTATGCTTTCCATGTTTTTTTTACATAAATATAGCATTTTATACAGGGTGATAATCTTTTACAGTATTTTTATAGTTATTTTATTTGAAGGGGTCAATGCAAGAAGTGTCTAAGTCACATTTTCAATTAAAAGAGCACTTTATAACTTTATAACTTTATTTGTTGTATCTGAAACTCTGACATTTTTAATGTACATAAATAACTAGACAATTCATAAGCAAACCTTTTAAAGAATTATTTTTAAAGTTTTTAATTCAATTATTTTTTGCTACAATATCAAATTGATTTTAATTTAATATAATTAATTTTAGCTTCTGCAATAATGGAACAATTAGACAAGATTTATCCTGCATGAAGAAAAAGAATGAAAGCTTTACTCGTCAATCCCAAACAGAAATATTTGGCCAAATTTTTTTAATAATAGGTAGATATATTTTTTTTAATTTAGAATACATTTTTAGTTACAATTGGTGGTGTGTGAATATTTTTACCAAATAAATTAAGTAGTAATATTTAATTCAAACTTAAAATTAAATATTTAAACTACATAAATAGTTTGAATTATTTGAATAGTTCAATAATTACAATCATAATCTATTCAAATAAGTTAATTAAGGGTTAATAACAAGTAAATAACATTCTTTTTATTTCAAAATAAATTTTAAATTACAATTCCAATGTTCCATTTCTTCAATTACTATTGGAAAATTTTAATTTTCTAATTGAACCATTTCAAAATTTGAAACATTCAAACTATTCAAATAATTCTTGAATTCAATATTCACACATCCATAGTGACAATCCAAAAATAAAAAAAGTAAAAGCCTGACCATTAAAGAAAGTACACTTTTAGTATTTACTCCAAATATAATTAAATTGTTTATTGTTAAAACAAGCAATCTTACATTTTTATATTACATACACTTCTGCTTTAAATTATTATTTTGAGGCAGAAATATTTTATTTAGGATTTTTATTAGGATATTAAAAAAGGATATTTTCATGTTAAAACAGCACAAGTCAACCATTATTAGTTTTTATAAGATTTTTAAATTAAAAAATAAACAAAATCATATTTAGTTAGTTACTTAGCTTGTTTTTACAATAAACCATTCAATTATTTTTATGCTGGTAAAACAATTACCTTTAGCATAAATAAGTAGCATAAATATTGATACATTATTTTTATTTAATTTTAAAAATTATTAGGTAATATCAATTGTTTTACAATTTAAATTGATTTTAAAATTGGTATTGATTTCAGGTTTGGGTTTGTGTTAATGGAAGAAGCAGACAGGACTTGAATTTATCAAACTTCTTTGCAAAAGAACATAGAAAATATTAATTGCAGTTGAATATTCTTCATTGAATCAAGAAAAAGACGCAGGTTCAATCCATGAATCATGAACAAGATAAAAGACAATTAATACTTAATATTGACCAGAAAGTTAAATCATACATAAAGATTTTAATTTTGCCAAATACATACATAATAACAATATTTTTAACATTGAGATTTAAGTGGTTCTATTGATTATTAATTTTAATTAAACCAATTTTACTAAAAATTAAATATTCCAAAGAATGTAATTTAATTTTTGGATAAGTAGGAATTCCTTTTTGCCAAAAATTCTATATTTTACAAAACTACAGTATTGTGCTTATTTTAAAAACAAATTATAATCATAATTCCTAAAAATTATAAGAGTATGGTTTGTAATAAGTCTAATTATTGCATTAAACATTATAGGCATTAGCCTTTTGGTTTATTCCAATAAAGAAATTTGGAAATACCTATAGGTATACAATAAGTCAGTATGTATTACAAAATTATTTATTTTTATGAATAACATATTCAAAGTTAAAATAATTTTAATTATATAATATACTCGAACTGTTTTAAAAGGTTGTTTTCTAATAAGGACCAATAAGTATTGAACTATTGTTTATCAAGAATTTATCAAATATTTTGATGGTTTGTAATATGTTTTAGAGTTAATTTGTTTATAAACCTTTGCATTTTTATTAAAAAATCTTAAAAAACCTATAAAAATTGTTATTATGTGACACAAAATTAAAATTTCTGAACATTATCGCTGTAATCAAGCGATAATTGTCTTGTAAGCATATATAAGAGGGTAATTATCAATTTAATGTCATACTTTTTGATAAATTATACCTAAATAATTATAAATTATTATACATGTTTGATAAACCTTTTTTTAAATATCACTAAAAGTTATAGAATTTCTCCTCATTTAAATATTATTTGTTAGTTATACTTTAATTTAAAATTGAATTAAGTGTATATTTTGTTAAATATATTTATTAAAAAAACAAAAATGTGTGTTTTTCCACTTAATTAGTGGAAAATAACCGAAAATTGTCGAAATTTTATATTTTTTGATTTTTAATGGACAATATTACGTATATAATCCTTTTAAAATCAAAAAAATATAAAATTTAAACAATTTTCGGTTATATTTCCTTGTTTTAAATAAAAATTCAAATAGCCAAACATTCAAATTTCCCGCCGAAAAAAACAACTCGGTTTTCCAAGCCTGCTAGATTTAAAAATCAACCAATGCTTGTTGCCACTTTTGACTACAGCGCTTTAAATTCTCTTATGTTCTGTGACAAAACTGCTCTGGAGCATCGCAAATCGCATTGCTTCGAAAAATCGCTGCTTTTTGTCACAGTGTTCCGGCCGGAGCAGTCGCATTGCATCGCAGCTCTTGAAAAATCGCAAACCGGCCCACCTCTAACGTACACGTCATCAATCAGCTGATCGGGCACGGTTGTCAATGTGATGCTAAAATCCTTGCATCAAGGGAAAGTGGTAGTGCAACTACAGGGCGATAGATGGCGTTTACATGAATAATACCAAAATGTCAAAAGTCTGAGTTTTTATAACCTATATGATGCACCGCCAAAAGTATGTTTTTAGCCATTTTTAAAGACATTTTCTGATATAAAACCCAAAAATTTTGCCATCTAAAGTCAGTCTCTGGTATATATATTATTATTTCATGTATCCAACATATATTTTGTTAAATATTCTAATATATAATTAATAATAGTCCTATTTACCTCTCTAACAGCTGTTAAAGGTAACAAAGGTCCATTATTATCCCGTTCTGCCTCAAAATAGCGTATTAAGGATAACACCAACTCTTGACTCCGACTATTTAAATGCTTCGGCATTTTAAATATAGGAAACACAAAACAACGATATATAACAAACACAAAAACGGCAATGAACTTAAACGATATAAAATAACACAAACAACAAACAAAATAAACGAAATAATACACGAATTAAACGAAATATTCAAAAACACAACTGACAGCTTCGAAATTCTAAAACGTCAAATTCTTTTTTATGTGTCATTTAAATATGAAAAATTCAAGATACATACAACATAAGATAGGATGGTGCGCATGGTGGGCGGAGCTAAAATACGTCACATGACGTCACTTGATGAGTAGTTTTAAATCTCTAACGTTCGTTTTAATTATCTGCCGCTAAAATTCTGGTTTTTGCGAAGCTGTTAGATGTTAAATTGCTCTGTTTTTTTGTTTAACTTGTTGTTTTTGCATTCTGTAAGGTTAGAATTACTTTTCAGTGTTTAAATTATTGTTATTGCTTTGTGTTAACCTGTTCTGTTTGTGCTATTAGTTTGTGTTGTGCCATTCCCTTGTGGAAATTTTTCTCTGAGAAAGTCTTACTTTCTCTGAAAAAGTCTGAATAATACTTATTAAGTCTGAAAAAGTCAGAATAATACTTATTAAGTCGGAAAAAGTCTGAATAAGTCTTATTAAGTCAGACTAATAGCAAGATTTGGGAGTCTTCTGGAAGAGTTAATAAGACTTTTTAAGACTTAATAAGACTTTTAGTAGAGAAATGGTAGGTATACCTATGGCGATAAAAATATATATCCGAAATAATTCATAGAGGTTTTATTTGGTTATCGTAAAATAAAACACATAGACAAGTATTTATTAACATTTTTGCTGTTGTTATAAGCCAAGTTTATTGCATAATTACCTGTATACTAACATCTTACCTATAGGTAAGATGTAATAATTATAACAATTATAATTTTTTACATACGATGCGCTTAACATGCTTTCATTGTTTCCAACATAGAAAAAGGAGTTAATATCAAGTCTATAGACATGATATTTTCGATAGACTCATAAGACAAATATGGTTGATCTTCGTGTTTCATTCATCTTTGTATCATGGTTGATCTTCGTGTTTACGTACAGTGTTGCCATAAAAGTTCCTGACCATAAATTACAAAATACTAAAATAATAATAAAAATGTAACAAGATAGAATAAAATAATTGTGCATATTTAGTAAATATACAATATTATTTACTGAAAATTTCTTTTGTTATTATTTTGATAGAAATTTGCAAATCACCCGCAAATATTATGAAAATACCCGATTTTCGAGTAAAATACTTGCAA